CTTAAAGTTTAAAAGCTGTCCTATGAAAAAAGTGAACCACTCCCCACACACATTTCTACTGCTATCAAGGCACTGGAAAAAAATTGTTTCAGCTTATATAAGAAGGAAGATTAAACTACTCCTTTCCATTTTTTAAGTGCTGTAAAACTGTAACATTTTTCTCTGGGTATGTCACTGCACATTTATTACATCAATAAGCCATCTAAGTTTCTCTTCTTCATACATGGTTTCCAAATTCAGGACAAGAGGCTTCATCAGCAATTCTACAGATCATTTTCACAGATTTTCTGGTGAAACAAATTGCCTCGCCCCAGTGACAAGACAAGAAAAACCATATGAGTCAAAACTATAACGTTAGGTCTCTTTGAAGTGAATCAAAGTTTGTCAGCTGATTAGCAAAGAAATCCTTAGTCTTAAATTGTGCATAAATATTCCCACCAATCTGAAACTTTTGTTGGCTGAGTTACATATTAAAAAAGTACATTATTTCTGAAGCAGACCAAGATCTATGCATGCAGGTTTGTTGTACACACAACTGCACCACTGATTTAATAAAAAACATGGTACCGGGTAATCATTGACCTTGTGAAAATTTGCAATGGAAGCAATCAAAAAGATGACTGGGTTTGGATGAAAAAAAAACTAGTTCATTTGCTCCTTTCAATTTCCTCCAAAATATTCTTCCCTGTTAATCCATTTCCATTTTAAGGTCATATAATACTGAAAAACAGGAACTGATCTTACAGGTTGACAAAATTAGTTTCTCCTTAGAATATGGAAAAAAACACAGAAGAGTGCCTTTGTTAAAAGAACAACAACAAAAGAGGAAAACTTATACTCCTAAATGCCAAAATATGTCCTTTTCTTTTGTACCTAAGAGAAAGAAAATCAAGTCAACTTGCTAAATATGCAGCATGACTACTGACATTTTAAAAAGGTAGGCAGTTTGCAGGATGGAAATGCATTCCGATCCTCAAAACATATTTAGTTCTACTGAAAGCTCCCATTTACTAGTCAAGTTCTGAATACCTGAGAAAGGCTGCAATACAGTTTGCAAATACATAACAAGGGGCATATTTATTCTCATCTCTTGTCTATACTTTCTCCATCTCACTCCTGACAGAGCCACATACTTAATCACAATTTAACGGTTTTGTTGCTACAACAATTTTCCTCTTTTCTTATGTGTTCATTCTAGCCCAAAAGGAGATGCACGTAATATGTCCGGATCACAGCTGATTAGAGATGTGACCAAACAACCTGAGCCACTTACACTCTTAAAAAAAAAGGACAAAAACAATGCATCATTCATACCATCAATACAGTCTTGGAGGAATCCCCAGGATATCGGAGACTGAAGACAATCAAAGATCCCAGAAAGCAAAAGAAGGTAAGGGTGGCAATGTTTCTAACATCTAACAAAGACTCCACGAGAGGAATAGTTCCCATTGTCCAGTCACAGCATAATTCTGAGGGGTTGAGAAGCAGCCAAGCATTTACAGGGAGGAGGTAGTTGAAAGTCAGCTGTCTTGCTGGGGAGGGACTCACAGCAGCTGGATTATCAAACCTAGAGCAAAAGAAAGGAGAAAAAGAAGCTTTTAATGAAAAAAAGATATGGTCTTGATCCATTTTGTGCTCAGAAACCAGCAAACTTTAGATTCATAGGTAGAACTACCAATTATAGACATGTACAATAACCTAATCTTCCTGCATTTGTCAGGTGTGTAACTTGGGAACCATGCACGATGATTCATCTTAGCGCGGGACTGAGCCTCCTCCAAGTTTAAGAAACTGGTTTGGGATATAAACAACGCAAGTTAGAAGAAACAGAATTATTTACACCTAAAGTTGGGTTCAGTGGTTCTTGTTCATGTTTTCAATAGTTTGCCTCATTTTTCAGGGAAAATATTAGATTATTGTATTTCTACATTGCTTGCACACTTTTATGATAAATTACAGTTTTTCAGTTCTGACATTATTCATGTACACTTATCTTCAAGCACTGTATCTGAAGTCAACCATGCTTTCTGCATAGTACATACCTAAAACCAAAAAAATATTTTGTATGTAGGAAAGGAAAAACTTATTATGAGGTTTGGAGTATTCAACCAAGGTTCAAACACATGGCCAATAAAAATACTTTAGTAATAAAACATCTAATTTCTGAATTACTAAGATGAACTAACAACTCTAAGTTTTTAAAAATTAATGCCTGCTCGGATACCTTGATATTTCAGACATTCTTGTCAGCATGTACTGAAATATACCATTTATCAATTTCACAAAAAAATGTAATATTTTACAGTCATATTGTACAGTTACCAATATTAAATTAAGCTAATAAACACTTAGGTTGATGTATTTTTGGCCATTTCATTGAGACCTCATTAAGCCACATCTTATTTACCAGTGTCTGTAAATAAGCGACACTTTACTATTACCTTGTAAACACTGGAAGTTGAGACTGGATAACCTGGACTCTGACAACTACAAGCAGCAGTGTACTGAACATTAGTACTATGAGCTTCAACAGTGTTTGGAGCATAGAGAAAGGAATACTGCCCTTCCCCCGAAGAATCTGTACAGCTGTGTCCAACAACACGGGCAAGGTGTACTGCAAAGGAAAAAAAGTGTTTATAATCAGTGTACTTATTTATCCCTTAGATAAACATGAGCTACCTAATCTTTTTTTTTTTTTCCTTGGTTTTCTCTAAATGCCTGCTCCCAACAGTTACTTAACTCAGCTTCTTAGAGCTTTCATGACAACACCCAAAAAGAAGTCCACCATTCTAATAAAAATTGCAAGAATATTTGAATAGAGTTAACACTATCATAGCTGAATTTGCATGCCTGTAGTTCTGCATTTTGCACTGAGAAATTAAAAGATTTGTACCATCTTCAGAGACTTCAATATAACAAGTATGACCATGAAATAAATTTTGAAAAAGAGAAATCACTATTTTTAGAATTATCAGCCTCTCTGAAAACTTGTCCTATAAACAAAATTCCTTAGGAACAGTAGAAATACTATTCATTTCCTAATTAGCCCTGGAGTCCTATTTTACGCCTCTACTGCAGTAACCCATGTCTCCCTGACTTATGAACAGTATGATCTTGCACAGTTCCCCATTACATACCCTAATTTCTTCTCTGTGTACAGCTTTCCCTATGTCTTCATGTCTTGTGCTGGGGATGATTTATTGCTTCACATATACTGGTTAGCTGAATTACAGATATTGATAGGTTTTTGAGAACTTGTCAAACTCTTAGTTCATGCTACACCTGTACTCTCAGAAGAAGCCTCAGTTTGGATTCTATCTTTTCTACTCAGTTGACTTTACACAAACTTTTTAAACTTTCATGAAATTGAGGATCAGATCAGAAGTTACTAGAAGAAAGGAAGAGTGAATTGAAAAGTATGGTCACATACTAGTGATTTCCTCAGAAATCAAGTTTGAAAATTATATGCTTATTCACTAGACTTGCAAAGGCAATAGTTACAAACACACGTATTTCTGTAAGCATAAAAAAATGTGATTTTGATATTTTGGCCTTGAATATATATCCCCAAGATAGACAATCTTTCAGCTTTTACTGGTGCAGTTTTTGCAAAATATTCCTTCAAGTAATTAAGGCATAGTAAACTAGAAAATTTTCTTAGAATATGCAACCATACTTTTTTAAATTGCATATGGTTTGACTATTAAAAAGTCAAGAATTATTTTATTGCAGGAACATTTTGCTTCTCTAAACAAAAGAAAAGTTACTATTAACTTGAAGAGTTATCAAAGCTTAAGATGAAACCTATCAGATTAGAAATTAAATTTAAAGGTATTATTAGAACAACAAATTTCAGAAGACTATTACAGATTCAAATAAGACTACTCCAAAATGTCTGGTTATTCATTAGAATGTGATGAAATGCATTTGTATATAGTATGTTCTCTATTTTTACTACAGGAACTAAAAAACTAAAACTGTTACATGCTAATCTTTGCAAACCTCAGTCAATTAAAACCTTAGGTTTCCATTAAGACATGCCAATTCTTTATTCAGTATATTTGGTAACATCTCTGTATGGCATGTAAAGGACAACTTAGAAGTCACTGGATTCCCTCACCATGAGCCATGTATGTTAAACATTAGTTGAGGCAAAAAAAATCTGAAAAATGTAACAGAACTATAGAGTTAGCCTGAACTGACAAAAATCAGTGCTGAAATATGACACTTCAAAATACTTAATGTCTCATTACAGAATTCCTGAGAAGAAATCCAATTTATTTTTCAACAGCTTACCCCTTGAGCAATAAATACTTCATACACACAGCATATCCCCACCACCGTTATTCCTTGTTCTTTACACAGTGTTGCAACAGCTACTAGAAACACAGTCACTGCAATTGGAGTCCACACTGCAAATAAAGAAGACATATTGAAAATGTTCTATCTTGGAACAAAACAAACATTTAATAAAGTAAATTAACCTAAAAGGTGAAGACTTTGGCTTTTCATGTTTGAACGTGATATGTTCTATAAACTTATTCAGTATGCCATTTGCTATTAAAGGCAAGATTACCAGTTTTACTCTACAGAAAATAACATAGATGTATCGGTTTTAAAATTGCCTCCCTTAAATTGAAAGAACTAAATGAAAGGCAAAAGACTCATCCATGATAGGAAAACAAAAAAACCCCAATCTTTCCTAATTCACCAGAACACTTTTTCAAATGGAATGTTTTATAGGCAGTCATGAATTTTCACGTCAATTTGATTTTGGAAAAGAGGCAAGCCTCCTACATCTGCACTGAAACTTTGCAGCTTACTTGTGACCATCTGAGGCATCTCAGCATACTTCCACTTACTTGCATTAATAGAAGACAGTGCAACAGTCCCCTACTCTAGGTGTTACAAAACAACTGAGAAAGTGCTTAAGTCTTTAAGGAAAAAAAAAAAAGGCAATTTATAATAGAAAGTACTATTACATGAGTATCTTGGGGCTGAAGGGTTTTTTGTACACACTTGCTGAATAAGCAATACATCCATATTACCATTTTAAGAGCTCTATTATCAGTGATACCGAAATTAAGTATATATTTGTCAATCATTTACCTATGGTATTATCTGGCCCTTTAGATTTTGTATATGACAAAAAAGCAGCTAGAAAAAAGATAGATGATAAAAGCTCTGCTCTGCCCACAACTCCAGTTACCTGAAAAGAAAAAAAAAGAAAAAACAATATTATTCTTCTAGTGACTATTCTAGTACTAGAATAGTGCATGACCGACATACTACCAGGATATGCATAAACAAGATCTGTAAACCAAGCAAAAAAGGCTAAGAGTAAGGCTGCTTTCAGTTCAATCAGTACTGAACCCAAGACCAGGGTGATACAGGTGGCTGGTGGCCACTTGTAGCTGATGTGTATCACCATTAACAAGACAACTGAGAAATGCTGTACTTCCTTGTATCTTTAGTAACACCAGCCACAAGCAGCATTTGAGGCAGAATTTGGGCATGATAACTGCTTTCTTCATAGTATTTGGAAGAAATCGTCTTTCATCAATAGGAGCTTTAAGTGAAGCCTGACAAGGACTGTTGTACATATACATCCTGCTGACAGTGGCATACAGAAACTATGATTGTTATTTTTGTTCATACCTTTTCTGACTGACTGAACAGATCTGAATCTGAAAGAAGCATTCCCTTGACTGGTGCTATGGCAGCTCTTAGGTGAGCAGTCACAAGTTACAAATAAATTGATGGCAAGCTCTGTGCAATGGAGTTAAAGAATGACTCGGGCTTTACTACAGGCCTTGGCAATTTTCTAAAAGATAATTTGGTTGGCAATATTGAAATTGCAGGTAGTGCCCCCTTTGGTAATAAGACAGAGAGGAATGGATTTTATGAAAATCTGAAGAAGTGCTAAAATCCATAGGGCAGAAGGTTGTTTCAGATCAACAATGGAATACATTAATTTTCATTTCAGGAGTTGTTTTCAAAAAACACTAAGGTGCAGCCAACAACCAGAGACAGAGGACAGGTCACTACATTAATGGTTACTGTTGTAGCCACTGTGCTGACCACAGTACCATTTAGGCTGCCTTTCTTCATCATTTATCCTCTTCTGTAATGCTTCTGATTACATCCAATTTTTTGCAAGTAAGCTGCCTGAAAAATGGCATATGATCCTGAGGCAGACGGTCATATTTAGCTAAGAAAACCTCATAGCTCACCGTTTAATTATGATGATGCTGAAAACTGACTTTCAGCCATCCGGACCCAGCTAGAAGTTTTTACTGCTAGGTTCATTCTTGGTCAAGCATGATTGATCCAGCACAGCATAAAAAGAAAAAATAACTCAATATCCAAGGTCACAGCGTAAAGAAAAGTATTCAAATCTGAATTTGAAATCATGCTCTGGTGTTTCTGTTGGGAGTAGGGTACATTTACCAAAGAACTCACCGAATCATGAACAGACAAAGCATGTTTCAATACTGATAGGACACCAGAGTTTGTGTTAACATTTTGGATAGTATACAGGTGTTTGTTTCCAAAATGTCTCAAGATGTTTCAAGGATTCTTGGTCTGAATCTCAAAATTGTCCAGCGTTAAGACAGAAATTAAAGACAACTTTGTCTGTAGCTCAGTTGAAAGAGATCATTAGTAAAGCAAGTGTGCTGGTGTGCCTCCACAGGCCCCTGCCAACACAAGAGAGATTCTATTTCTGGACACAAGGGTGACTTATGAGAGAAAATTCTAGCATTCACAAGGTTAGTTGATATCCTGTAGCTGTAAAGGTGGTCAACATGCCTCTGGCCAGAACAGTAGCAAAGTAGCTAGAAAGACTGAACTGGAATTCTAGGGACAAGGACAAATGAAACTATGATGCTGCTATTCAACCCATTTCCTCAAAAATTTTTCCTCAGAAAATGATATATTACCAGTACAAGAGCCCAGCTTCTCTCTGAAGTCAAGCAGAAAATTATTTTCTATTTATCCTGCTCTGCTAACTTCTCCAGGAAAAATCCATTTATCATGAGATAGGTAAAGGTTTGAAATGTTTATGTATTGCATCTGCTGTTTCAAACTCTTGTGCAGGGGAGTAATAAGTAGGAGACTAATTTGAAGGAATTCAAATCAGATACATTTCAATTATAAAAGATAAAAAAGGTACCATCAAATGATATAAAAACAGGGAATGAGACCTGTTTCGGAGTTTTCACTGAAGTCTGAATAAGTTAGTCAGCACCCAAGTCCCCAGTTCTAAAATACAGCTCATTATTACCTCCTCTTTTCCAACAGAAACTTCCAGTTGTTTTGCCTTTTATACAGGTGCACAAGTCTCAACAGCCAATTCTAAGAATCCTTAGTTGTATGTTAGGCAGCATTCTCAATGCAAACACTTGAAAGGATAAAATACACTATTTCTCAAACGCAGAAAACTTAAATTGAAAAAGGTGGGGGGAGGAGGAAGAAAACTCCTTAACTGATTCTTTACTGAGTACCTAAGTACAACAGCAGGGGAATTCAATTACAATTGCACTTAAATCTCAGAGTCTCTTAAGTGTTTTAAGTACTACCAATCACATAATCTTACAGTGCCCTCATGTGGCTAATATCAGGGATTACACACTTACTACAAAACTGCTTCGTAACTGTACTTCGTAACTTTGTAATACACTGCCTTACACAATAAGCTTTCATTACACAATGTTTTGTACGATACTTTTTGCTAACTCTGCTGCATAGCACTAAAAGCAACTGTGTTACTGTTATCTGGTATGGAATCTGACAGTTCAAGTATGATAAAGAATCATCATATTTGGAATGAAAGTGATAAAATTACATAGGATGATCTAAGCCATGACCCACTAATGTAAGTCACTAGCAACTTGCTAATGCTCCTGTAAAGATACTATCACATTTACTACAGAGGCAAAGCCAAACTTGGAAATTTAAAGCATGTTTTTTCAAAGAAACAGAAAACCAAATTAAATTAGCGAATTATTTTTTAACCCATCTTTTACCCAGGATTTTATGGGGGTTTGTGCTTTCAAGCACAAAAGCAAGCAAAAAGTTTTAGGTGTTTAATTTTTGCATTTTTAAACATGCCACTAACAACTTCTAGCAAGGACATATTAGTACCTCAAATAGCAGCCAATTTTAAACCCCATGAACTCAATTCCTATACAGATTTGCTCAAAATACACAGATGCAGGCTACTGAATTGCTGCTGACAGGGATTTGTGTTTTTAGAGAACAAGAAAGCGACATGAACTCTTTACCCAGACAAATCAGGACCAAAAAATACAGCATAAGGTAAGAGCAAACCCTTCTTATTTTCTTAATATCGAAAGATATCTCCCTCCCCAAAAAACACACTAAAAAAAGTGGGATAACACCTCCAAAGAAGCAAAAGTTTTAAACACTTTCAGTTTTCTGAAAATCAGCTAATACTATAAGAAAACAGAGCCTCAGAATGGGCTTAGGAACATGTGTGAACTGGAATCTAGGAAAGCCAGTCTAAATGGTGCAGAAATAACAGCAGAGAATTCCACAGATCTGCTTTATCAGTTTCTGATGGAAACAAATCTAATGAATGGCGATCGCAAGACTCCATTTACTCCACAACATTGCAAGCCTGGTTGACCACTAAAAAGTATATAATCAGACAGCTTGTACAAATGATGCTTTCATAGCAGTGAAGAGTCCTACAGGATCAAAGGAAAGGTAAATATGAGAGGCAAGAAATGTACTTCCTCTTTCTGACATCAGATATGTTAAAAAATGGAAGGTTCAAACAGAACGGCCCTAAGCTGAATGTAGCATAGCAACAACAATCCTAGAAAAAGCCCTGCTGAGATAGATATATTGACATAAGAGAAAGCAAACAGAACAGACTTGGTGATTAGCTAGAGGGGAGTGCTTAGTGATTCTGGAAATTAAGAGGTATTCATAGTATTTGCAAAATACGATACTGGATGAATCATCACAGAACACAAATATCTACGTAAACTAAAGTAGCCATCATCATAAAAGCCAATGTTCATAGCAGAGACCTAACTTATTTCATAACTAATGTTTCTTTAATTATTTTTCAGTAGCTGCATGGAATACCAAACAACTCCGAGCATTAAAATTTTGTCCCCTCCACCACTCATTGCAAAGGGCAGAGTAAGTACTAGCAAAATCACACACCTCTTTGAGCTACAATACATAAACAGATACAAAACCCATTAAATTTAAGGTTAATTAATACAGCTTGAACAAATTAAGCACATCACAGCTATACCTACCGCTTCTGTATGTATTGGGTGCACTGCAAAGAGCAAGGATGCAACTACGCTGCTCCTGTTGTCCAGAAAGAGCTTACAGACCTTCAGGAAGACTACACAAACCACCACATGAAAGACCAGATTTAGGAAGTGATAAGAAACTGCATTTAACTCGCTGAACAAGTAGTTTAAGCGAAACGTGAGAACTGTAAGGGGACGATAGGATTTATGACTCCTCTCCTAAAAGAAAAGAAACAATTCAATCAGTTACCATCAATGTATAAAGGGACTTTTACTCCAAAATATCTTTCTAAAAATCTATGCATACATGATTCCCCTCCTCTATTCTCAGGCATCTACCTTCAAAATAAAGACCTGAAAAATCAGTAATACTAATAAATAAATAATCTAGTGTATTAAATGAAAACTTGATTTAAAATTAAAATGTTAAACAGAGAAGTTAATTATGACTATTTTTCCGACTTCCACACAGCTTTAATGTATTATTCGAGTATTTTGATTACTTTGCCATTTCATGTTTTAGATCAGTATTTTATAAAATATAAATTTGGTGTGCTCAGCTAAATGTATTATTTATATATTTTCAGTATGTCTGCCAGTCAATATGTCTATGTTGCCAGTTACTCCACCCATAAACCCTTTTAAAAACTACACTTAACACCATCTTCCTGCTCCAATATGCATTTGTTAACCCACAGCCTGTTGATATTTTGCTGAATATGTCTGTAAAATAAAGGAAGAAAATCTAAGACGAAACTGGGGGGCTGGGACAGTGAATGAAATTGTACATACAGACAGACTCCCACACAAGACAGGAAAAATATTTTAAAAGCCATGAATGACCAAATTAATCTGACTTCATTTCGACTTTCAGTTGGTTTTAAGTGCAAAATCAATGCTAAATGAGATGGCTTTCTCCCGGTCCACGTGGTTAGGGTTTTTGTGGAGTAAAAACATGTTGAAAACTACTACTTGAAATTTTACTGGGAGGTGTTTAGGAATCCACTTACTCTCAATGACTACAGGACTAGATGGCGTCTGAACAAGAGTCTGGAAGCTTTCATTACATGCTTGCATGAAAATTATGTATCAAAGTCTATTTGTAGAGCTAGGAATTAGTATCTCACAAGGAACTAACCCTGTAACTTATGGACGTAAGAAAAGATAAGATTACTAGGTGGAATGCCTTGATAGGCAAAAAAACTACGACTGTCAGAGAATTTTTATACATTTACTCAGCAATGGTACCATGTCTAATTTTCTAAACTATATGTAAATCCTTTAGCCTTTGCCATTTAACAATGTTTATCAACAACTTTAATGCCAATGCAGCTTTTCAGATAAAGACATAGCCACTCTACATGGGCTACAAACCAAAAACTCTGAATTCACATAAACATACTTACTCAAATAAATTTAATGGGATTCAATATCCATTCTCTAACTCCTAGCTTTGTTGTTTAAGAGTGTTATCTTTCCTTCCAGACTGCAATTAGAAATAAATACCTTTTTATGTCAATGTCTAGCTTTTGCAGGAGGAAAAGGGTTAATGATCAGTTGTCTGATTTTGATATTGGAATTAGGTAACACCCAGCATCTTGAAGTGCGATACATGACTTTATTTTCTTACAAGTTCTTTTATTGTACAAAGGTAAAGAATATAAGCGACATCTGTTTCTGATCTTATAGTACAAAACACTTGCACCACCAAATTCCATCAGAAACAAACTATTCTGTTAAAACCTCATTAGGGGAAAAAAGCGTAAAAACTCTCTGCAAGGTTTTTTTTCATTTCCTAAATGCCTCAAAGCGTTTCACAAACAGTTTACCTCAGACATTGGAGTGCCCCAAAAGTCATTCTGAAACAGATTTTTTAATGGAGTAGAAGGATGCAAATCTTTATTGTCCAAAATCGCTGAAACATCATCAAAAACAAAGCCACAAAAGAGACTGTTCCAATAGCAGGCTGCCACCACACCAACTATTAGTGCTGCTTCTTTCAGGCTTACATCAGCCATCTTCTCTAAGAGTTTTCATGAACAAAAGCTGAAATATACGGACAGAAACTTGAGAAGTTTTACTGATTAAAAACTAAACTTGATAAATAAAGTCAAATTAAGACATCCAATATTTTTGAAGTTAATGACACTACATATCTAAAAATCTAAAAACTAAAGTCTCATCCATCTTACACAATTTAGTGTTTAAAAGAAATAATCTCATTAAAAAGTCTCACCCCTAAAAAGCTCTCACACAAGCTGGATACACTGCTACATTTCATGTTTGACTAAAAAAAGAAGATTGATGATAAGTTGTGATGTAGTTCTTAGCAGACAGCTATGCAGTTCAAGTGAATGCTGCAAACTGGAGAACTATGAAAATTAAGTTCTCTAGAACCCTGAGTAATTTAACATACTGACACAGAATACTAAGTTATCAAAAAGGTGGACAGTGTGTTAATTATGCACGTCTTAGGTTTAAACGTGTTTCTCAAAATATTTCAAAAGCAATTAAAAAAATGAATTTCAAACATTCTGAAGAACTTCATAAATATAGGTGTTCAAGAACAGGTAAAGAAGGACATTAGCCATAATAAAAAGTTAAACTTACCATGGAAGCTCACACTTTGTTCATCTGCATTCTTCATAGAAGTTCACGAAAAGGTCATTTTTCTCTCAACTCTGCCAATTGCTCCGATGTCACTGAATGTTCACCAGAGTCCTGTCTAAAGAAAAACAGCATGAAAAAAGACACAACAAATTAACTTCATCTTACATTATTTTCTCTCATCTTGCATAAACTTCCTAAGCCCCAGAAATTATTAAAGAGCAGTTTTATGATTATTTAAAAAATAATATATGGGTGACCTGATCAAGAGGTGAAATTACTAGGTATCAGGTTCTTTGAAAACACTGTTTTGCCTTGGAAGAACAGGAAGGTAACTACAGGTCAAAGGCATTCTTTTTGACCACTGGTTGATGCAGCACGGATTACTGCCAATTGTTGGGGCCAAAGACATTGAAATGCTACAGACAACTGGAACACTGACTTAGTTTTGAGAAAAAGGAGGGATGACTGAACAAAAGTATACAGCATTTTCCCCAAAACTAGAGAGAGGTAGCATCTGTAAGGACACAGAACAGCTAATATTAGCCGGATAATATGGATCCATAAATATGTAAAAACACTGGCCTTATGTCTATCAGGGTTCACACATTAAAGCTGATGAGTTATTAGGAAGCTATAGTCTGTTTTATTGTCCTAAGGCATGAAATGCTGGTGACTTTTTTTTTGCTTTGGTTTGTTGTTTTTTTTTAATTGTGTTCAGGTTTAAGTATACTATCCTCTAAAAACAAGCCATAAAGATATCTCATCCAGACAGGTAATCTCAGTTGTGGTTTGCAGCCTGGGCCTGAGAGCATGACAATCACCTATCACAACTAGTGGAAAGGAAAGGGAATACTTGTGCAACACGATGCAGGTGCAGTTAAACTAAAAACCAGGACAAAGATAATTTAAAAGGAATCAAACCAATCTATTCAGTGTTACTCACATAATGGCACTGAAGGTCTTTTTCTTCTTTTGTAGTACTTGGAGCACTGGCTATTGATGTTACTTCAACCAAGAAAGAGCCTTTTTTCAAAGTTGCCACCACCTTTGTAATAAGGAAAAAAAAAAAAACCACAATGTTAAATGTTAAAGGATGCTGCTACATCTTTTTTTGCCAGGCTGGAAGAGAGTACTTTAAAACACTAAGCCAAGAATAAGTCTGAACATATTTACGGTTTTCTTGGCAGCCAGAGAAATCTTATTAAAAAAAGAAAACAATGCATACTGCAGGAATACATTAAAAGACAGCCCACTTTTGAACTCCAACTCACCAAAGATTTTTAGTATCCCCCCCGCAAAGAATGTGGAGGAGAAGAAACTGCTGTTTCTCACCCTGCTAGGAACAGAGTTTGAAATTCCTTGTTTGCAACAGCTTCTGAACAGTGCACTTCCTACTTCTTGAAGTTCACTAGTTCTACTGAAAAGCAGTGACATCTGAAAAGGACCTACAACAAACATGTAATGATTTTCCAATATATAAGCCTCCATTTTTTAAATACTGTGTTCCAAAAATTAATGGGACAAGATAATATTGCCACGCAGAACTAACTGTAAGGTTTATTTAAATTTGCCCTTTAAGAAAAAGCATCTCAAGGTGAGTAGGTTTTTGGTGACTTGAGACTTCTTTATTCACGATATAATTTTACTGTATTGGTTAGTTGAAGCAGCAAGCCCTTGCAGATACTGCTTTGCGTATCAAAGAGTAACTGAGGTAATTCTTTAACAACCCTATTTCAGAAACAGCTACTGCTACTCAACTAGAAAAAAAAAAGGAGAGATTCCTAAGTATAGTCTCCTATCAAAAGGAAAAGCTTAACCAACCTTAATTGCTAGCTCCTCAACTACTTTTTGCAGGTTTTTACTTTTCTTTTCCC